AGGCGAAATGTGTTCAACTTGTGCGAATTCGCATCGCGAAAACACGCCCTGACGACACAAAGTCGCGTTTGCTTTCGCGCATTGCGCCAAGTATGAACCGGGCTTTAGATGAGACAGTAACAATACTCAATCATCTTGAAGTCAGTGTTCCAGATCTTTTTTGCCATGGGTATTGTGGATGTTAACTATACGTAGTCAGGGCTTAATGAGAGGTCCTTCTGACTAATCCCTCTCTTGTATCATCCAACGCCTTTCAAGATTCTTCCAGAAACTAACATGATAAGTATAGTCAAGCTTGACCCAAAATTGTCAGTTTAGAGTATTATTTGTACTCAGTGACACAAGTCAACGAGTTAGTCATAGGGGAATGCTGATCACGAATCTTTTCGACGCAGACGTCGTCACTGTCACCACGAAGTGACACTCGAAAAATCGATATTTTGTGATTTCATTTTTTTTCTCCTAATTTGTGATTAATTACACATAATCTATCACCTCAAGAAGTTACTATACACAGAGTTAATTAGTTTTGTCAAAATATTAATTAACATTAATGAACATTTGCAACTTAATGGGTCAAAACCGGAAAATGCGTTTTCACGAAGTGTACTATACCATTCTTTCGCGTGTAAAGTGACTGCACTCTACGCGTCAAAAACGGGTTTTGCGTTTTCACAAAGAAACACAAATGTCACGTGATATGCGCGACTCACTTCTGGCGTTTTCACGAAGTAGCGCTGAGCCCATAGCTAATACACATGGTTAGCGTCACTTTGTGGAAACAACGTTATCTGATTTTTGAGTTTTCACGAAGTGTGATTATGGTTAATTAGTTTGATAACTCATTAATAGTTATTTTGTTCAATACAAATCATACATTAACGTGTCATTCAAGATCCCAGCTTCCAGACAATGCAACAAAATATGAATTTTGAGGCTAAAACAAGATTCAGATAACCGTTTCAAATCATCGTCAACTTTAATGGCTTTTATCTCGGAACAGTGCGGGGGTTAAAGTTACTTCGTGGTGACGGTGACGACGTGTGCAAACGACCCTGGAAATTACACGTAAAAAGACGCCTGGGAAAGGTGGGACTTTTTTTCTATCGCTTTAAAGAGGGTGAGTACGCTTCTAAAGCGTAAATAAACTACAAATAAAGTCTAAATGTGAAATTCAAAATTTGACAAAGTTCTACATTTTTGGGTACATGTTCCAAGTGTGGCCCCTATTTACGGAGATAGTCCAGTAAATTGGCCACATTTATGGGGCTAGTTGCGAGTATAGCCACCAGCATCCCTTGCAGTGTATTGTAAAGCGTGTGGAGAGTTTACAAAAAATACTCAAACTGACTATGCCATTAACATGGTGTGTAGATCCATCTACATCAATGGCGATTTGGAAATAGCCGCCGTTGTCGGATGCAGAGGCTGCGGAGGGTAAATGTTGCGAAGTTCTGGTTTGGATCTGTCTCGTTCTGAAAGCGTTAAAGGCAGTGAATGTGTGTTAAATAGTACAAAACCCGTTCATATAAATGTATTTTCGATCTCGTAAAAAAAACTCAGTCTGTTATCAACAACTTACTACATCGAACCCCGGCATCCTCGTGATGCCCGCAGTTGTGTCCCGATCCCCTCAGGCAATCAAACACCGTCTCCTCGTTACCCGTGCAACGAACATCATCAAACAGTATGTCTCCGGTTCCCTCACCAAATGCAGCTCCACGGGGAGCCGCATAAGCTTCTCCAAAACCCAGTTCCCGGCAGATAACGGTTGCGTCTCGTAGGTCCCACAAGTCATCACAGACCGTCCCCCAAGCACCGTTCCAGAACACCTCCACTCGACCTTCCATGGAGTCCGAACCGCCTACCAAACGAACTATCAAAACCAAAAGAAATTTCTGTGACTCAGTATAGGGAAGTTCAAGCTTAGATCTATTGCCCAAAAAACTAAAAGTAAATAGATTCAGAACAACATTTTCGGGGGGGGGGGAGGAGAAGGATTTTTTCTTTGAAAAACAGGTAACTACGATAAAGATGCAACAGTCTTGATTCTTTCGACATTTAGTGTCTTTTGAAGGTTTGATTTCGTGCATTTTTTTGCTGTATTTTTGGCTCTAGTTTTCTTCCCTGCGTTGTTTTCTCAGGCTTTCGTTTTGTTTTTCGATACAAATAACTGTGGGCAGTATTCTTCAATTCAAGGAAATCATGGTGGATCATTAACTTATCTCTGTTCCTTGAGGTACAAAGCGTACTACCGGTACACAGTGCGATATTTATGCGGAAACAAAATAATAAAGTTTCTCAATGAAATGAACACTTCAAACAATGAAATGTTCATACTTCAAGAAATGAAATGTTTACGGAAGCCGATAGTTAAATAATCTACAGATACTGAAACCTTTGGTTATCAATTTGGAAATTCCCCCGTGTGTATATAACAAGAAATCAATTATCAAGTCCAGACCCAACCTGCTACAGCTTGTTGCGCTCAAGATCCTCGCCTATTTTCCTGTACGTCTATAGGCCTAATATATCCATCCCTTCGCAAAAAAGTCGCCTTTGTTCTCTTGTGTAAATCCCCTAACACTCTGGCATCGATTAAAATGCTTCAAAACTTCTTAGTTAAGTTCTCTCCTCTTCGAAATGTTCTCCCGCCTTAAGTCCCTTATTAACGGTCCACCGAACTTAGCATCGTGTTTCATAATCTCCCGCCTCAACGGACTACTGAACGTAGCATCCATTACTTAAACTACTCCACCAGCCTGCTGGGGAATGGCGAACAGAGCATACTGTTCGAAACGAAGAGTTAAATAATCAACTGGTTCTTCTCAGAACCACACAACTCATCACCATGCAAACCCTTAACCCTAAAAGGGCCGGGTTATTTTGACCATCTCTCAGCCGGAGGGGGGGGGGCGGATTCCGCCACCTAAGATCTCGGTCATCGAGAGACGAACAATTTTGAAACTGGATACATTCATAGAGCAACTTATCATGAAAATACCCAAGAAATTTCATGACTATAGGTCGAAGGGTTTTGGAATTATGGTTAATTAATTATTTACATGCACGAATGGTAATTCTGCTCCGTGTACATGTACACTACGTATATGGGAAAATTCAGTTTTCACGGCGCGTAGCGCCGGAAATTTTTGTGTTTTTGGTATCATTCCGCCCCGGCCCTTTAGGGTTAAGTCTTATTTAACTCTTCAAAAGTATAGTTCCCGCCAAAATATTTCAGTCGGAAATCCCAATTGTCGATAAAGCTACAGTCTAAAAACGTGGCACGGATATCAACAGTTATCCATACTGAGACCCCCATTAAAGGGGCTTGCGCTGGCCAATTCATCGAATTCGACAATATAATGCTGGTGTGTTTTACACTATTTAACGAAAAGAGGCTTACCTTTAGTTTCAGCTTTGACTGGAAACTTGGCAATCGAAACCAACAGAAAGGCAAACACCATCAACAGGTATGTGTTCACTCCCTTTCCAGCATCCATTCTAGATGTCGAAACAAGCTAAACCAGACGGCGAACAATGTAACGGACTTTTCTTCAGTCACGTTTATCAGAATGTAACTTTCTCAGCCCCAATCAACGCTATGGTTCGTGCGCAGTCCGGACAGACGGCTACTCGAAGAGAAAACGTCTGGACAGTCTTCGTCGCGAACAGGAAATAGAACTGTCCGCACCCTGGCTGTTTGTACTTGTACTTGGCAGTTGAAAATAAATGGTCTTTCACATGAAATCGAAACAATAATAAGTGTGCGGGTCCTTTCGTCAAGTGAACAAAAGCCATAATTGGGACTGGTTTTGCCAATATATAAAATGGGTCCCGGAAATTCACGCTTCAATTACCGATAAAAATGACACCTTTTTTTTTACAGCATTGGACACGTCAATCATCATCCCGATGAAAAGAAAATTCATCCCATAATTACATATTTTTTTATGCTCCAGCAACAAATTAAAGTGAGCGCCAAAGACTTGGCAGCGACCTTTGTCAACAATTTTCTTTGTTGTTTTTCCAAACCAGTTAAAGCTGGTAACGTGACATTGGACTTGCGTTCAGGGTCAGCCCTACCAGAGTTGTAAATGGTTACAACACAGACTGTTTTTTAGGACCCCGTCTGCTTTGAAAAAAAAAACACCAGAAAACAGTCAGACATGCGCCCACAGCTAGGGTCAGCTGGGTGCAAGTTCGGCTGTTTATGTGATCTGGTACACGGTACCCTGTGAGGACATGTGCACAATAGGGAACAAAAGATTGTATACGTCTCCACAGAGCTATTTATATAGGTGAATACGTCTCCACGAGGTTCTCACGAAATAGATATCATGGAGTTTACTCAAACACTAGGAATTCCCTAAGGTGTGTTGATCAGCCGCAAATCGAAGTATTTTATGTAAGGGATATAAAGCCTGAATGTCGGCCCAGGAAGTTACTTCTGGTTAAAATAAGAGCATTTTGAAAGTACACTTTTAAACTCGAGAACTTTAGTACTCGAAAAAAAAAATGACTCCACAAGGATACACATTCCAAAATGCGTGTTTACATCCCACTAGTTCCTGGTGCAAGACTTTAAATTTATCCTGTGTGTCTCTGACTCACTGTCAACTGCAGCAAGGTAGTGCTTTTGTATAGGATTACCTCGGGCAGCAACAAATGGGTTAAGTCCGGCCCATCGTATACACCACATGCATGACAATATCATAGGAAAACTGGGAAGAGGTTTGGGAATGCGGAAATCAAACGATATTTTATGGAAGTTTCCAACTTTGATATACAGTACATGGAGTACGGCACGAACGGGCTACTGAGCTTACTTTAGGGACATAGCGCCATAATGCAAATAAAAGCCCCTTTGTTCTTATAAATAACACACATTTTTTTCTACTTTCTCTTGACTAGTCTTTATTGTTTATTCTGTCTTGCAGTTTGTGGCGGATGGTTATGCAGACCGTATGTGGAAGGAATTCGATCAAGAATTTGTGTGTAAAAAAGTTGAATAGTCCCAGGGGGTTTACCTCCAGTCAGTACAGAAAATAGTGCAGAATGGGGATGGTTCCTTTAATACTTTTTTTATTCAAAATGGAGTCCGGAATGGTATGCGGAAATAGTGTGAATTGAAATGCACCGGGCGAAGTATAGGCTATAGCTTCGAAATCCAGAGAAACGCACAAATAACAACCAACAAAATGGTCATCTACAAGGAAATTGGTGCTGTACATCCTACGTGTAAAGAACAAGTTTACACACAGGCTTACCTTAAGTGGCCTAATGACATTTTTTTGTAGTACAGACCTACTTTCGATTTAACAACTATCACCATTAATTCCCTGATGAATAAACTTGTTTAAGTCCTCCACATGCTTTGCCGATTTAAAATTTAAAATCTTAAGCCTCTTCGAATTTGGATTTGTATTACATGCAAACCGTATTCTAATGCTGAGTAATACTTACAATTCGTTATATTGTACCAATGTGTTATAACTATTATGCAACCTGCCGAAGCAGCGAATTTAGTCAATATAATTATGCATATCTGACCTCCCATAGCATAATGAGGAATAACCCCCACCTTTGACTTTTCACGATGTGTACATATCATGTTCAAGCACAAATCATTGGCTTCCAATGATACCAAATTTATTTCTGTAGCTTAATTTATTCCAAAGATATGACGCAGGAACTTCAACAGTGTCCTGCCAAGTTTCGCTAACCTCATTTCGAAAAAAAAAATGGCTTTGAAAAAAAGGACACACATTACACCACCAAAGGCAGTGAAAAACGTTCTTCACTTTTTCCACTTTTGTTGGTATTTTTCCCCAACAAAAATGAATAGTTTGAATCCTGAATACCTAGGCTACTCAAAAATACAAAACAATCAATATCGATTAATTTTTGACATGATTTTTCTAGTATATATCCGACTTCAGGCGTCGATTACTCAAAACAAGATTTTGGGGGACATTCCTCATTTTGCCTCAGTAGGTCACATATTTAAGTTTCTTCATGGGTTGAGGGATTCGTATCTGCTCAGCATTGGGTATGCCTCATGGCTTTCAAGTTGGGCATCCAGTGGTAAAAAAGAAGAAAATATCGCTAGAAATATCAATATACAGTGTTTTAATGTATGTAAACTGTAGCAATCATTAACAGGCTGCAGAATATCAATTATGCTAAATATTTGAGACTCGATATTTTTAATCGATACGCCATAAAATGCTGTATTTTGATCGTAAAATAACGAAGCGGTTTCCGATTACAATTATTTGCCATAGGAAATATACACGCGAATCAACCTCTTGTTTGCATCTTGACTCAGGTTGATTTCATCAGATTTCATGTCGAAATAAATTGTTCAAATGTTATACATTTGAGAATAATCAACTAATTATGAAAAAAGCTCTGCGTTTCATTACTATTTACCAAATTCCTTGCAGTATTATAATTTAAACACAGCTTAAAACATGCTAAGCAGTTTATGAAATATGCTAAACATTTTATGAAATGAGACACCAAAAGGTATTGATTATCAAACATAGAACATGACGTTTTAGGGCTTGGAGGGCGTCCATATCTGCTTTACGTTACCTGTTATAATGGTACCTCAACTATAACTTAGCAAATGTACGACACAAGAATGGTTCAACCTTGACGGTAAGGCTTTCTTTGAAATTGCAACAAAACCTTCCTATTGCGGTGTTGACACAGAGATCTCCATATCTGCAGTCTGCCCGGCTGACGGAGAAGTGTGAGCCGTCGCTGACACCAATTCTGACTCGTTGGACTTTTCAGGATGCAGCGTGGGCAGACGGCATTCCCGGCCGCAGCAGATGCGCTTCATGTAAGGGGCCAGGGCGGTGCGGACCTCCTCGCGTCGAGCGCAGAACATGATGAACACAACCACGCCCTACAATGGGAGCAAATAATTACGACTTCAAAGAGACTCCGTACGTTCACAAAATTGATGTTGGTACGTAGTTCCCGCCCCTACTTTACATGATTTTTTTTAAACAAGCCACAAAGCAAGGGTCTACACCTACAAAATGAAAAAAGCAAGAGAGAAATGGAGTGTTACGGACAGTTTGTATAGCTTTTTTTTTTCTTTTTTGCTCACTATAGCCGCCGACGGAGGGCTCCGAAGGTGCGTCGTTAACACTGCGCTGACCTAGTTCCTTTGTTACAAGTAGCGCGAAGTTGTGTCTGCCTGTGTTTTTCTATGCTGCGAATCAGCAGTTCATGTTCTGGTAGCGGTGCGGCAATTTCACCGCAGAGTTTTGCTGAATAAATTCGAGTGTCTCTGGAGTTATCCTGTGTGAGTGCCCCTTTTGCCTGCGTTTGGCGAAACTTGGAGGACAAGAACCCAATATAAATTCACGCTTCTATAGGAAATATAGTTCTTGGTATGGAACTACACAGTGCATGAGGCCGTTAAAACTATACCTCATTCGCCATAACCCTTAGCCCACAAGCGGTGTTAGGAAGAATGAAGATACGATACGCCATGGAGGAACGAGAGTCTACTTGATTACATCTAATGATTGTACATGTACCTGTAAAACAAACTCTTTGGGGCAACAGAGCTCAAGGGAAGCCACAAGACCCTGTCCCGGTAGTTAAACTCGACAGAGTCACGTCTCAAGAGAGTGATCTACAAAGTTGGTAAAAGTGTGGTAAGTGTGGTTGTACTGCCCTCAAATGAGGTGCCATGGAATGAAAAACCCACCTGCAAGGAGTTGGCCAGACAGAAGATGAGCTGAAATGCAAAAGCTGCCTCATTGATCGCCAGGAACCCAAAACACCAGGTCAAGCCCATGAGGGCGGAGATTCCCGCGGCATTCTGGAGGCGTTTGGAGATCTGCTGGGAGCGAGATGCCTCTTTGACCTTCAGGAGACTGCGCATGACCAAAACGAAGGTGATGATGTTGTGGAGGAGGATGAGACCAATTGGAGCAAGGAGGCCGAGGTACAGAACAAGACCGGGCTCAAGGAAGCAGCTGCAAACGAAGGAGTATTCATGATCATTTTGATGAATATTAGGCTAGGTATAGGTAATACCATTTTTAATACAGTGCTATATAACCTGCATAATGTTTCAAAGTCGCATTTGTATAAATCTTTGGACATTTTCGGGACTTTGTCTTTGTTTCCAGATTCGGCTTGTGTTAAGAAATTGAAGACCTCTGACTTGACTCTGGAGAATTCGGTTCATTATGGGTCCAAGGTCTGCCTGAGGAGTAAAAATCATATTCGTAAGAGAATAAAATTTAGAGTAGTTTAGATTGCAGAAGGTCCGTAAATTCCCAGCATACAGTGAAGTAAGCAGGAGTTTGGGACAAAGCCGACGTTTCGGGAACTTCTCTATAAGAATAATAATTAGGTAAAGAGAGGATAGTGAGTAATTGGATGAATCTACAAGCTAGCATGATCATTTACTTACTAATGTTCGTTGGCATAGTGATGTGATGCTGCAGCCAATGTGATTATCAACACAATCAATGGTGAACCTAAAAAGGGGGAGATTAAAATCGTATTCTTGATTCAACTTGATTCAAATCTTGATTGAACTGATGATAATGATTTTGCTTGGTTTCCATTTGAAAAAGAAAAACGTTTGACTTTAGACAGAAAACTTACCCCAAGCGATGAGGCAAGCTTTGAGCATGTATCGAGGCGCGTCTTCTGGGAACACCTTCACCGTACTGACGTACATGTTCCTGGCTTCAACGGCCATCCACATCATAGTGGACAGAGTCAAGTAGTGGAGTAAAGCAGCCACGAACACACAACCACCTCCGGAGCCCTTTTAAATTGAAGTAGATATAATCTTTATAATTTAAAATCAAGATGCTATTTACAAAGGACGTTACAATGAGTGCTTTTCAAGATATGGAAACTGACTTTACCGACCGGCCCTGGCCACTTTTGACTTCTTGGTGGCTCCACACATCTATCGCCCCTTAAATTAAACTGAAAAGTTTCCTGCGTTATGTAACATTGCTTACCTTAGCATTGTCGACGCCGGCAACAAAGACGATGTACAACATGAACAACGAGAAGCAGAAATTGATGAAGATCTGACGAGATTTGCCACTTCGCAGTTTCCTACGAAAGGGTAAAGATTTTGTTGTTGAAATTTTAACACGACAGCGACAAGACAACACATGGAACGTATGAGTAATAAGCTGTAGAGAAACATGGTTGGGTTTAATTTTTTTGATCGTTTCATTAAAATGATCTTACCTGATAGCTAAGTATATAATCAGCGTGATAGCCAGAGCTATGATTGAAAGTGCAGCGCCAACCTGGCTGATGACATCAAGCGCTCGCTTAGCAGGAGTTTCATCTTTATCATCAGGTGCTTGGCCCTTCACATCCTGAAATGAACGACAAACCAGTTACCAATCCAGACAATATTCCTGATATGGCATCTATGTATCCAACAAAATAAAATGATCTCCTAATTACAACTGTGGAGATACATTCAGCGAATGAAGATAAAGTGTCTTGTTGGCCTTGAACGTAGGCATTTCATAAATGTTATAACAGGGAAATCATGTAAATTCTATAGACCAATGTATTTTTCCCGATAAATGTCCTTCTTTTCCTGACTTAACCGACCTTCCCTTTTCGTATGGCTTAAAGTAGTGTCACTCTTTCTTTGAACTGAAAGAGGTGCTCTTTTGCTTTGTGATGTGCTCCATGGTCTAAGCTTGGTACAACTTGCGGGAGTTTATTCTGAGCCTGCAATTGTCGTATTCTTAAAGGGAACATGAAATAAAATTTTGATTGCATTTTTTTTGCTTAAATCAATAAAGGATGATGTTCTTAACAATCTTTTGTGTATGGCGGTGTTTATTTTCTAAGATAAATGGGGGAAAATAATTTGTGAACATGTTTGGTCAAACTACTCCGCCCCACAAAGGGAAGCTTCATTAACATAAAACTTCGCGAGGGGTATGACGCAAGCGAAGGCAGAGACTTGCCGCGCTGCGGGGGCACCGGCATTGCGGCGTGCATCATAATACATGTACATATACATTGCGGCACTGAAAGTTTTTCTGGTGTTTCGTTCGGAATCGAGGAGAAATAACACCCGATTTTCGGCCATGCCGACAAGGTGTGTGGCTGCTGGGTGTAGCAAAACTACCAAGGATGGAGTAAGCCTTCATTTGTTTCCAGTAAATCCGAAATATCGGAGCATTTGGAGAGCCAAAGTGAAGGTAAATACCAGAGCAAAGTGGTCCGGGCCCAGTGAGTTCGCGGCCCTCTGCGCTGCACTTTGAGCCGTCGTGCTTTGATGCTGGTCTGTACAGCAACTTGGGCATGCCCCTAAAAAAAACATCGAGTCAGTATCTGAATCATTAGAACTCTGATTCGAATCGGACGAATCTGTACCATTTTCATCGGATTCGCTAAGGAAAGAAGAGGACGGTCTTCGGAACTTTTACGGTCATGACGGTCGTCGTTGTGTTCATTCGACAACGGTGGCACCGTGGCACGTCCACGTGTACTGTACATATCCCATGTAGACACATTCGTACGTGTGCATATAATGCCACGTACGGGTACGCGGCGGCTGCACATACACACAGCACAGTAGCTTCGCTAATCCGTCTCGTACCCAGACGTCATTTACGGGCCCTGGATTTCTCTGCCTTTGTTTATGTCATGAACAGCGCCCTCATTTGGAGTTGCCGCGAAAATCAAAAAGGGGGGGGGGTTCAATTTTGGACGGCAAATTACCACACTAAACGTACACCAGAACCAGTTCTGCTTTTAATTCACATTTAATACACATAAATGAATGTATATATAAAATAAAATACGTTATGAAAATTTTGGACTGCATGTTTCCTTTAAATGGAAAAAGCTTTATGTAAGTAGTTTGAAATCACAATAAGATTGAACTATACATACCACTAGGATTGCAAAGTTGGTGGCATGAGAGCAATTACACACGATCGTCTTATTGGTCACTTCAGCAAGCGCGCATCCATCTGTTGTCCAATCGCCGACTCCATCTTCCAGCTCAAAGTCCCAGGACACGCATTGGACTTCGCTTGATTCCTCCTAATAAAGTTTCAAAATTGGAAGTTTGATAAAAGGTACACACAATTGAGTGAGGGTAAAATCTGAAATGATTAGCCTAATGGACATTATTCTACTCTGGATAAACAGGTATATTCTCATGATCACCTTGAATTCAATCACAACTGGTTCTGTGAGGTTGACAAGTTCAACATTCTCCACAGTCAGTGAGACGACAGATCCAGCGACCTTACGCGTCGAGTTACCCTCCCCTCGATGCTCCCTGATCGAAGCAGACTGGAACAACGTGTCATCAGCGTAGATCAGGAAACTGGCTTTCAGCTGAGCTACATTTTGAAGAAATAGTTTAAAGAGGTACGTTTTTCATATTTGGTTTGCACTTCCCCCGAAACTCTTATCAACAAACAACATTTCATAATGTCATCCCTGAAAGATGTTTAACTCCACTTCCAACAAGGAACAGCAGTGCGTCAATCTCTTGCTTGAGGACACACGTACGCACGATTTTAACCATTGTTTGCAAAGTAGACTTTAGCAAGCACCGCATAGCCCCACCCTCTTTTTTATCTTATCAAATATCGATTATTCACATAATCTTTGATCACACATGATGAACTTACCATTAGGGGACGGTAACAAATTGATGATGTTGCTAGGCAACCGAGCCGATGCCAAGACATCGAGATCCTCCGGTATTACACTGGAGTACAAAGTCTCGACCTCGGTACCGGCAAGGGTGCCCTCTTGCGGTGACCCTTGTCCAGGATACGTCACATTGGACTGTTTCACGGACATGAAGCTGAGTCCGTTCCTGGTCTGGTTTGGCTCAAGACTGACCGCCTCCACGTGAATGGAGTCCTGACGTATACTGACCTTACCCTCTTGCTGAAGTGTCAGGGAGATTTGAGTCTCTACGGACTGAATGATGGCTGAGGAGGTACCAGCCTCGATCTGAGTGGGCTCGGAGTCAGGAGTTTCAGGCCCAACACTCATAATGACATTGCTGACAGTCTCCAGCACTAGTTCTGTCACCTTCAAGAAATCATGATTAAAAGTAACTTCAGTTACATAACCATATCGCTGTTTCACATCGCTTTTTTTTTAACCATGTAAAAAGTCCCCTCTCCGGAATGGTAATTCAACATACCTCTTTGTCCCCCGATCCTGCTTTTGCGATGTTCTTCAAAATGCTGGCAACCACCGCAACATCTTCTGCCTCCTTAGATGACTCTGACGTCTGATTGGCCAGAAACTCGGCCACTTCGACTGCATTGCCTCTGCTTACCTCAACCTGTCAACAAATATGGTTCATGGTCACATCTGCATATCTAAGCTTTTTAAAACACCGCATCTGCCACCAGTTTTTCACAATTTACTCAAGTAAACACATGCAGTGTGATTCATAAACTAGGACCTTTCTGTAAGAGCCACCATATTAGAATGCCTTTTTGAAAATTGAGCCATCATCTAATTTGGATTACCTAACGTCCTGAGATAAAACAAATTACCTTGACGACGTTTTTGAGAGACACTTCCTTCTTGTCCCCGCAGCCACGAGTCTCCTGCTTCTCCCATCGGAAGTAGAGAGGCGCCTCCAACTTTAAACAGTTTCGGACGGCTTCGGGTTCACCGGCTTCATTTAGGGTGATCAAAAAGCAATAATTCAGATGAGCAAAACCATTTTATCAGAAGAAACTGAGTTGTGCGAATACATGCGATATAAGTGAGACTTGCGGCCAAGAAACAGCAAACGAAAAAAAAGGAAAAATCGAGGCGGAGAGACTGTCGCGAATATTACAAGAAAGATTGGATACAACAGGCAGAGCAAGGAACATTTTGGACTATGGTGAATGTTTCAAAGACTGTGACGGATTCTAAAGTCAAACCATTTTCAGTTGTCAGTGGACATCGTTGGACAGACTTGGCAGTGGATCCAGCTACTGCTACAGGCCATCTCAGACCGTCATTGGTTGTGTTGGTTGGGCACTGACCTGTTGTGAAAGCACGACAAAGCGTTTCCTAATCTCTCACTCAGTTATTTTGAATTGTTTTGATAGGGGTTCAAACAAACTCTTTGAACTATATCTTTGCCAATTAAGTCTTAAAATACTCGGAATATCTCACCTTGTACCACAACAGAGAATGAACATTCGAAGTGCAGGTTGTATGCCGCAAACCATTGCTGATAGTCTACTCGGTGAGTTCCTATCAACAATTCATCACCAGAATTGTTGCTTGAGGTAACGTTTGTTGGTCCGTTCCATCCAGTTAGATCCGGTTCCAACCAGTTCACACTTGTACTGTTAAGACCCGGACTTGCTAATGCCGAAACATTTGCTGGACAAACGATTTCCACAACTGAGAAAGAAGACCAAAAAATTATAACTAACTGCAGAGCTATCCTGTTTGTGAAATTGAGGAAGAAATCTTAATTCTTATTGAGGAACACATCACAAACAATGCACGTAGATAGACGGTTAGAATCTTAGAGGGCACAAGTTTCTACTCATGCCTATGAAAGTGAACAAAAACAGGTAATTGGAGTCAATGAAATCTGTACAGCAAACCAAATCAAAATATTTAATATTAAAGTTTGAATTGACACTAACCTGTAACCGTCACAGTAAACGTGCAAACATTCTCATTCCCAGACGCATCTTCAGCTTGGTACGTGATTGTGGAATCTCCAACTAAAAAGGTTCCGTTGCCAGCTTGGTCGCAGTCACCGGCTGTGGCTCCTGAGCAACTGAACGTCACCTCCACTTCACGACCAGAGTTGTCAGAGGCCGTTGGAGGAATCCACCTGTGATGTACCTGATTGGACGATGAGCTGACTGGGATGATGACGTCAGCTGGACAGTCGTCAAGTTTAGGAGGCTCATTATCTAAAAGGGAACAACATTAACTCCAATTACAGGCCGGTGTGTCCTATTACGGTTTGGTATGTTATGTTCAGTTTAAACCTTTTATAAAAGAGGGGGGTATGCATCACACTGAAATAGTGGAAAGCTACAAAACAAATTGGTAACCGAAACAGCATATTTTACCTTCGACAATGACGAGAAAATCGCATTCGATCTCCGTTCCCCCTACCCGGTAGAAAACAGGAGTTGATCCGATACTGAAGGACTCTCCAGGGTGGTGCTCGGACAGCAAGCGGATTGTTGTCCCTACATCATCACGGGAGTATATATCACCACTACCACTTGCATCGTCATCATCGACGTCATCATCATCAGAGCCAATCAAGTGGTCCCCTAGTGACACGTGATCAAGATGAACACGTATCGCACTGGTGCTCTGCCCCTGAGGTGAGCCGGTGAAAATCACTTTGGGCTGAGCCCATGAAACAGAGGTGGCGTTACTTCCGGGATCAGTGGCAGCTGTGATATTGGCTGGACAGCGGAGTTTAAGCCCTTGAAAGTGAGAACGATGACACCCCATGTTTAATAATGTGCATCTCTTATGAAGTATCTTATGAAGTCATACAAAACCCAGTAAATTTATGAAACAGAAACAGAAATGTAGGTGTTTTTGTCTTGGAGATATAAGTACAGACCTGTTACTGCCACCGTGAATTTACAAGACGCAACGTTCCCGTCTTGGTCTGCGACTGTGTAGGTTACCATGGTAACATTACCGACGGGGAACATGTCACCAGGGTGATGGCTAGGGTTCCATAGCAACGGCGAGTTTGGATCTGATGCTGTCACGTTAGGCCACGCCACGGGGACTGATTCTATGTTGAGGTCCACTAGACGATAAATGTCGCCCGGGCAACCGGTGGTGAAAGTAGGTGGAGTCAGATCTGTGACGCAAAGAGATTAGTTAGGAGAGAATGAAAGTGGACACGTGACCGTATGACACAACTGTACTTAATTGATCGTCGACGAAAACGTGACGTGGTTTCTAGAAAAATGTATCAAACACGATTAAGTTTGGTACACGTACGCATCGCATGCAGACGATACGAAGAGGACTAGTATAGGCTTATAAACGATTAAAAACCGCTGGATTAATCGATGTCCTGCAATGCAACATTTTGGGGTATGGTTTCGCAGAAAAGTGTTCGGGTGTTAACATTTGAAATGACCGCCTACCTATGACAGTGATTTGCATGCTGCAGTTTGCAACGTTGTTGATGGCATCTTTGGCAGTGTACTGCAATGTGTGTACAGACTGCGCAACGCTCAAACTGATGCTGTCATTTACAAGATGCATGGAACCATCTACATCAATGGTGACTTCCAACCATCCGCTGTTGTCGTATGCAGAGACAGGATGAGGAAGGATGACCGTAGCAAAGTTCTGGTTTGTATCCGCCTCGGTGGTTTGATCGGATGGACAGGTAATGACGGGCGGCTTATTTTCTGTAAGGAAATACTATTAATCTTCATACACATTTACATTAGTAGTTAACTCGCCATACCTGTTAGGAGTACTACTACTCGATGATCCAAAATAGCTCATTTGGACCCAGACCATTTTTGCATGGCTATTGAGGATATTGACTACGTATTCAAGGCTTAAATGAGAGGGCCGGCTGTCCCTAAGCCCCTACTTGCATCACCCAACGCTATACGGCTTGAGATCCTTCCAGAAAGTAACATGATATGCATAGCCGTGCTGGACCCAAAAGTGTCAGTTTAGGGTATTATTTGTACTCGGTGACACAGTCAGTGAGTTTGTCAGAGGACAGGGGCCGGCATATCGGATCTAGCAAAAAAAATAATTTTGGCTCTCCTCCATCTTTCTTCTACCCCCTGTACTGTGTTGTCAATATTGATACAGAAAGTGTGAGCATTGGGATTTGCATTTTTCAGGATTAAGAGACATTTTATTGAAGTTGAACCAAGAGGAGACTTTAATAAGCTCAGAGTTGAGAGTTTGAGTGAGGGACTGAAAAGAAGAATCTGCATAAATAATGATGGTATCCTCGGCAAAAGAGAAAGAATAACAAAGAGGAAGAATTTTGTAGATCATTAATGTATACCAAGAAAAGAAGAGGATCAAGTATGGAGCCTTGGGGAACACCATGAGTGACAACTCCCCGGGCTGAGGGGAGGTTATTGGCAACAGTAGGCCTATATTGTTGCATATCAGCCAGGTAATTTAACACAGTTTATCGGGCAGAGAACTAGATATGCAGTCGGTAAGGTGAATGAGAGCCATGTGGGTGGAACAGCCTGGACGGAAACCGAATTGTTGGTTAGAGAGAATAATAAAGTTGGATTTTTAAGTCTATTATACACAATCCTTTCAAGTATATTAGAGAATATAGGCAGAACAGACATAGGACAGTAATTGCAGACATCACGAGGGTCGCCACTTTTAAAGACAGGAGGGAACTTAGCAACTTTCAGACTCAAGGGAACGATACCGCAAGAAAGAGATAAATTGAAAATATGAGCTAGAGGAACAGAGATGAGAGAAATGGCAGATTTTATCAACCGATGAGCGAAGATCGTCAAAACCAGGACTAGTACCACTGTTCAAATTTTAACCAATATCGGTTATCTCAGAACAACTGGTAGGTAACAGAAAAAGAGAAGAAGGACTAGTGTATGAATATAATCACTTATTTGAAGAGGTCTAACACGTCTCTTTAATAAAAAGACTCTACCCTTTTGGATAATGCCGGTGCATAAACAGAGTTAACGTGAGGGCTTCCCTTTTCATTTCTAAGGTTCTCATGGAAGTCAACTTTGATACCATAATATGACGATAAATCGCAATGGCTACTCAATTTTTGGAGTATGGTTTCGAAAAACAACCTGAAAAAACCCCAATGTTTTCGATGTTTAAAGTTTGCGGGTGTAAACACTGAAAATAACTGCTTACCTATGACAGTGATTTGCGTGCGGCACGTTGCATTGTTGTTGCTAGCATCTTCGGCAATGTACTGCAATGTGTGCACAGACTGCGCAAGACTGAAACTGAGTATATCATTGACACGGCGCGTAGATCCATCCACGTCAATGGTGATTTCGAACTTCCCGCTGTTGTCAGACGCGGAGGCTGCATCGGGTAAACTGAGTGTAGCGAAGTTCTGGTTTGTATCTGTCTCGATGGTCCGATCGGCCGGGCAGGTGATGACAGGGATCTCCGTGTCTGTACAGAAACATTACGACAATTCCCACATAATATGTTAGGCATATGTCTTATTTCAGTTTAGGTCACGCCTCTAAAATAAGAAGACTTTTGCCTTTTGTATGTAGGCCTATATAAGCCCATATCCATGCGGCGAAGCCGGGGGGGGGGCTGGCGGCGCATGAGAGTTTGAGTGAGAGACTGAAAATAAGAATCTGCATAAATAATGATGGTATCATCGGCAAATAAGAGAAAGGATAACAAAGAGGAAGAATTTTGTAGATCATTAATGTAACCAAGAAAAGAAGATCAAGTATGGAGCCGTGGGGAACACCATGAGTGACAACTCCCCGGGCTGAGGGAAGGTTATTGGCAACAGTAGGCCTACGTTGTTGCATATCAGCCAGATAATTAAACAGATTGGTTGAAATAACCAATATTGGTAGATATGACTGTCCAAACAATCCGGTTGGTTGGACACATATCTCCCAATAAGTTGGTTGTTTTAATCAATACATTGGTTATTTCAATCAATCTTCAACCAAGCTGTTTTAGAGTGTCGTGAACCATTTAAAGGCGCATCCTCTGACACCATAAAAGGAAAGTTTGGAGACGAGGATGTCATGATATATGGTATTAAAAGCCTTTGATAAGTCAATGAAAACACCGGGAGTACACAGTTTATCGGGCAGAGAACTAGATATGCGGTCGGTAAGGTGAATGAGAGCCATGTATGTGGAACAGCCTGGACGTAAACCAAATTGTTGGTTAGACAGAATAATAAAGTTGGATTTATTTTAAATAGTCTATTATACACAATCCTTTCAAGTATTTTAGCGAATATAGGCAGAACAGACATAGGACAGTCATTGCAGATATCACGAGGGTCGCCACTTTTAAAGACAGGAGTGACCTTTACCCCTTTCAGACTCAAGGAACGATACCGCCAAAAAAGAGATAAATTAAAAATATGAGCTAGAAGAGCAGAGATGAGAGAAATGGCAGATTTTAACAACCGATGAGCGAAGATCATCAAAACAAGGACTGGTACCACTGTTCAGATTTTAACCAATCTCGGTTATCTCAGAACAACTGGTGGGTAACAAAAAAAGAGAAGAAGGATTAGTGTATGAACAATCACTTATTTGAAGAGGTCTAACACGTCTCTATAATAAAAAGACTCTACGCTTTTGGATAATGCCGGATAATTTTTTATTTTAATTTTGTGGAAATTTGGGGGGGGGGATTTTTTTTTTTTTTTTGAATTTTTTTTTTTTTATTTTTTTGGGGGGGGGATTTTTTTTTTTTGACACTTCACGAAACGAAGGTTTGGTACGCGGGCATTGCCGTACTTCATGTCCATAATGTCAAGTACGATTTCAGGCCATAGCGGAAGTGCCGTTTCTTGGTCCATGGTTTCATAAAGGCCGCGCGTTTTTTTTGTGGAATGTTTTTTTTTTGGAATTTTTTTTTTGTAAGGTTTTTTGGGGGGGGAATTTGGGGGGGGAATGTTTTTTTTTTAAATTTTTTTTTTTTTTACCTACCTGTCGTCAAACCAAAAAAAAATTAAAAATTTCCAAAAGTTACTAAAATAGACTGCGCGGCCTTTATGAAACCATGGATCAAGAAATAGCCTTGACCAAGGCTATCAGTTTGTTCCCATACGAGCTTGTTCCCGCTACCGCACACCGCGCGCGCCGCGACACAATCACTAGTTGTACTATACCGCGCGCGCGGTGTGCGGTAGCGGGAACAAGCTCGTATGGGAACAAGCTGATAGCCTTGGTCAAGGCTAACCAAGAAACGGCACTTCCGCTATATGACCTGAAATCGTTCTTGTACTACGGAAGCGTAGAAGGGCCAAAAGAAATTAAGAAAAAATTAGCTCCTATCTCGCCGCGGCGAATTACTATCTCGCCGCGGCGAGTTACTATCTCGCCGCGGCGAGTTACTATGTCGCCGCGGCGAGTTACTATTTTGTATCGGTGAGCGTCGGGCTCAACAATGGCGATCCCTCCGGGTCCTATGGAACACCAAAGAGGCATCGGCGTAGCCAGGGTTTTTATCCTAGGGGTCTAGTGTCCCACATACCACTCGGCCGGGCCACTATAGATGCACTACATTAATCCGTGTTCCACTCGCGCTCGCGGGATAACTAACTACCACTATTCAATTTCCAAGGGACCGTAATAAACAGCCACTCGCGAAAAAAAAATCTCAGAAAATCGCTGGAAAAAATTGACTTGGGCCTATATTCTTCCAGGTAGTCATGGTAACTCATATTGAGGTGTTTTTCTACGGATGCCAAATTTTCAGTGGGGGGGGGGGCGACTGGGCGTGCGAACTTTTTATGGGGCGGGGCGTGATAGGCTTTTGAAATCGGTGTTGAAATATCGCAATCGGTCATGGATTTTCGCGATTGGTGATGAACTTTGCAATCGTTGATGAACTTTCACGATGCAGAAACGTCAATACTGGTCACCGATTAAGCTGACCTAAAAGACGCACGTGGGGAAAATCGTTCTAAAGGTTCCCCAATCTTTTTTTCTAGGAATCCTCACAAGTTGTTATTTCACGAGTAGTTGAACACCAATAATATTCCGAATTTAAGCTTAATATGTTGCAGACGCTTGTGTTACATCTCCTATCACCGAGGTCAAGCTCGGATTTTGCCGAGCAAAAAAAAACATGGTCAGTGGCCGGTTTTGCCGCAACGTTGACGTATATTTGACATGCGCGTTATTAGCATATTAATTAGCGTGACTCTGCGTGACTTCGCGTGGGCCTCTGTATAGACCAATGTAAGCCAACCAAAAAGTTAATATTGCATTGGTAGAGAACTCGTGAAGGAGGGAGTCGTAAACTTTGTAACTGCATTCCATATGGATAGAACCTTATTAATATTCGTGACGCTTAAAATATTGAAAAATGACGAACTCAAAGCCTATTTTTCTATTGTAATGAAAAAAACTGAATAGTAGGATCATGATAGGGAAAGAAACTCCAAAAGTGTTTCTGAGATGCGGCCTTCAAAAGGGGAGAAATTGATGTTAACAGATTTTAGCCCGCGAGGCGGAACATTACAGTAATTACTTTTCTGCCCTCTGAGAGATGCAATTATAATGTTGAATAGTTGGCTGGGTCATCCTCATCCCGTACGCTAATGGACCTGGCATTGCAAGTGGATAAATCACCTGTTGCCGCCCACTGAACTTCGTTTTCTTTCTTAATTTATTCTTAACAAACAAGAAAGGACAACTTTATTATTACATAAATTATTTCAATTATCGGACGTACTAGAAGAGTTATTATAGAATACAGCCCTGTATGGGTGATTAGGGTGTTAGTTTTGCCAATGTTGATCAAAGATCGCAAAAATCATCACCACTCGCAAAAATCCATCACCGATTGTGACAGTCAATAATCGATTGCAAAACCACTGCCTATCGATAAAGTGCATCGCCGATTCGTTGATCACATTAAATGCCTCTTTGGCGTTCCATATCACCCAGGAGTATCGCTATTCGTCGTGCCTGTAATGTTCCGCCTTGCGATTGTTACGACCGATTTTGAATGAAACAAGCTCAAATTACCGTTACACAGACATTTTGATGTTCGTGGGCTAAAATCTGTTAACATCAATTTCTCCCGTTTTGAAGGCCGTATCTCAGAGGCACTTTTGGAGTTTCTTTCCCTATCATGATCCTACTATTCAGTATTTTTCATTACAATAGAAAAATAGGCTTTGAGTTCGTCATTTTTCAATATTTTTAAGCGTCACGAATATTAATAAGGTTCTATCCATATGGAATGCAGTTACAAAGTTTACGACTCCCTCCTTCACGAGTTTTCTACCAATCAGTCTATACAGAGGCCCACGCGAAGTCACGCAGAGTCACGCTAATTAATATGCTAATAACGCGCATGTCATATATACGTCAACGTTGCGGCAAAACCGGCCACTGACCATGCTTTCTTTGCTCGGCAAAATCCGAGCTTGACCTCGGTGATAGGAGATGTAACACAAGCGTCTGCAACATATTAAGCTTAAATTCGGAATATTATTGGTGTTCAACTACTCGTAAAATAACAACTTGTGAGGATTCCTAGAAAAAAAGATTGGGGAATTACCTTTAGAACGATTTTCCCCACGTGCGCCTTTTAGGTCAGCCGAATCGGTGACCAGTATTGACGTTTCTGCATCGTCAACGATTGCAAAGTTCATCACCAATCGCGAAAATCCATGACCGATTGCGATATTTCAACACCGATTTCAAAAGCCTATCACGCCCCGCCCCATAAAAAGTTCGCACGCCCAGTCGCCCCCCCCCCCTGAAAATTTGGCATCCGTAGAAAAACACCTCAATATGAGTTACCATGACTACCTGGAAGAATATAGGCCTAAGTCAATTTTTCCGGCGATTTTCTACGATTTTTTTTCGCGAGTGGCTGTTTATTACGGTCCCTTGGAAATTGAATAGTGGTACCAAATTATAGGTTTTGCCCTTCACCGACGTTTAAACACTGTATACTCAGTGTGTTACCTCCCGAGTGAAAGATGGAAAAATCACTCGGGTGGGACTCGAACCCACGACCTCCTGCTTTCTAGTGCAGATGTCTTACCACTCGACCACCGAGCTAACGGGATCGGTCTGCTGGTTCGAATCTGATGTACATAGCAGCGGGTAGATAGTTAGCTTGGTGGTCGGTTAGCTCGGTGGTCAAGTGGTAAGACATCTGCACTAGAAAGCAGGAGGTCGTGGGTTCGAGTCCCACCCAAGTGATTTTCCATCTTTCACTCGGGAGGTAACACACTGAGTATACAGTGTTTAAACGTCGGTGAAGGGCAAAACCTATAATTTAATTTATATCACCCCGACGCAAAATTCCATCTTATAATATGAATAGTGGTAGTTAGTTATCCCGCCAGCGCGAGTGGAACACGGATTAATGTAGTGCATCTATAGTGGCCCGGCCGAGTGGTATGTGGGACACTAGACTAGGGCGGGTATTGGGCGGATAT